CCGCCCGCCGGGCGCCCGCGCGTCTCGTGCGGGCTGCCAGGCGCGCGGGCCAGTGGGCTGGCTAGCGGCTCGGTGGCCATCTTGAGTCCTGGTTAACAGCCTGTCCCCCCCTACCTCCCGGCTGACAGGGCAGGAGGTTGGGTGCCCGCCTCAAAAATGGCCGCGCCGTTGGCAACTGGCGTGGCAGTCACATGCCCACGGTCTACCTTGACTAGCTTAGGTCTCTGTAGCAGCACTCAGCAAAGGGGAGCAGTCTGGGCGAATCTTCGGGGATGGGGTTTAACAGCCTGTAAAATCCATCTGCGGAAGAAAACAATCTCCTGGAAAAGCCCAAGCCTAAGAAAATCGAACGCATTTCAACAGCAGCGCGACGTGCTAAATTCCAATTCGCGCCTCTGGGTGTCACGCGGTGAGTCCCAGTAGTCCTAACCGTTCTTGAACTTCAGAAACACTTAGAGCAGCTTCTTTAATATGGCCATGTCCAGAGTTCATTCCAAACTTTGTGAATCAGAATGTGGAGGGATGAGGCCCCTGTAAAGACAATTTTAGCCTGTTGCCACTTGATTCAGGTACACAACATAAAGTTTTACAACCCCTGGGTCAAACTAGCCCCGCTCAGACTATCACTATATGTCACACTTAACTGTCAGATTGCCTCATTTTCCTGAAAAGTATACAGGATATCAAACAAGCATCTAAGGCCATACAAAAAAAGAGTAACCTAACACCCCATTCTAACCTTACAATTTAGTGCATATAGAGAGTTAAGAAACTGTGAACCACTAATAAAAGACAGGTAAATTAATTCCAACCGCAGGAAGAATTGAAGTAGATGGAATCACCCAAGTAGCTCTTTTTCATTCCTTTTTTCTTTTTAAAGGGCGCTTTATGCTGTAGGCGCATGCGCAAGACAGACAGAAAGCAAGAAATCACTCCCCAGGGGGGATGCCCAGACTGCAATCCCTTCTCCATTCTACTCTGGAGATTTTGGGCACGCAGGCAGGCAAACGGGCCAGTGTGAGTTTAAACAGGTGGGTTCGGGACTCAAACCACAGTTGACTACAGGGAAGTCCAGTGATGTAACCATTATGCCAACTGCTGGTCCTCTTTTTATTTATTTATTTATTTATTTTTGGGTGATGAGGACAAGTACAGCTTGTGCAAAGCAAGGAAAGTGGGCAGCTCGTGCTGAAAGGACCCAGTCTCGCACATGCGTTTTTAAGGGCAAAATTAGGGGCAGAGGTCCTAGGCGCATGATCAATTCAGTGATTGGTTCAAGAGGGCGTGATCATCTCGTGGGCATTCTTGACTGGGGAGGCCTTAGATAATCAAATTTCCCTTCAGATGGCAATCTCCGTGCCTCAGGTGTCCAGAGTTGCTGGAATTATAGGATATCCCACTTGGCCTTTAGGCTGGAAAAGAAATCAAATCTCCACCTCTCATGTTGGCCCTGCTTGGGGAGTACAACATTTTAGCAGCCCACACAGGCAGCTGGGCTCTCTTTATTGCCTGTTTATTCTCTATATAATCACAGTAATATTAACAAACCAAAACATCCAATGGCGTTCGCTTACTGACAACATAGGATGGTGACTAGTTTCACAGATCTCAAACCAGTTACATCAGAAACACAACAGAAAGACTACGTGACATTGAAAAGTAGTTCATGAAAGTGCAGAACTGAATTTTTAACTTAATGTAAATTAGTTTAAATGTTAAAACTAAGGCAGTATAGTTTTCCATTAAACATAGTTTTATTGTTTTCATTGGCCTACATTTCACTTTTTTATATTTTTGGCCAGATGGCATGTGTGCTGGCCAGAAAGAGACAGAGGAGGAGAAGAGAAATCATCCTCCCCGTGGGGAACAGTCACACCACAATCGCTCCCTCCTTTCAGAATCTTGGGCACGTATACCCACATGCCCGGCGAGTCTCTCAAGCCACTGGCTGAGACTCAAATCGGGCATGTGGGATCCTGCTGCCTTAACCACAAGGCCAGAGTCAGCCCCATTTCACATTTTTTTTTCTTCTTCTCATTTCATTTAACAGCCGAAAATTTAGCATCCAAGTTGAGACACTGTAAGTATAAAATATATACCAGATTTTTCAAGACTTAGTACAAAATATATGTGTAGTATCTCAGAAATAATTTTTATATTGATTATGTATTGAAATATAATTTGGACATATTGGATTAGATAAAATATTAAGATTAATTTAAACTGTTTCTTTTTACTTTATGTGACTACTAGAAAATTTTCACTTTTATGCATCCTGCATTAAATTTCTATTGGGCAGTGATGTTATACAGTCTAAGTTAGCCTTATTCTCTTACCTGTCATTGTCCCTGTGACAGAATAATTATGCTCACAAAGTCAAATTACTATGGGGGACCAGCAGTTAGCGTAATGGCTATGTCGCTGGACTCCCACGTAATCGACCGCAGTTCGCATCCCAGACCCGGTGGCTTGAAACTCACAACGGGTGCGTGTGCGTGCATGCCCAAGATCCCGAGAGGAGAATGGAGGAGAAGGGATTGCGGTGTGGCCATCCCCCCTGGGGGCTGATTTCTCGCTTTCTGTCTCTATGTCTCTCTCTGTCTGTCTGGCGAGCACACGCGCCCTATAGCAAAAACCTCTAAAAAAATAAAAAAAAAAAGTCAAATTACTATGCCAGTTTATACAAACCTATATTTCCTTGCTTGCCATCTAAAATATAATATTCCAAAAGATTTCAATTTTTTTTTTTAGAAAAGGCTATTTTTGACATTGTTCTCTTTAATTTGGGAAATGCCTATCCAGAATAAAGCCATGGATCTGATGTGCTCAATCCATAGATAAAGGCTGTTAAAACACTGAGCTATACTTGGTAAGGTAAAAGTTTGACCAAATGTCCACAGGCAGAATTAGCCTTTGGATTAAATAGGATCCCAAACAAAGCAGCAGCTGGATAGCAATTTGAAGTGGTAGAGAAGCTAACTAAGTCAAGAGTTTCCCACTTCCTCTTCATGGGAAATGTTAATAAATAATCCACATGGACTATACACTAGAAGGATCATGCTAAAATGCAGGTTTGACTCAGTAAGTCCCAGTGATCCAAATTTTGCGTTTCTTTTTTTTTTTTTTTTTTTTTTTTGAGAGACTTTTGCTATAGGGTGCATGCACTCAACAGAGAGACCGGAAGTAAGAAGTCACCCCCCCAGGAAGGATGGCCACACCCTAGTCCCGTCACTTCCATTCACCTCTCAGGATTTTGGGCATGAACGCACATGTACCTGGTGTGAGTTTCAAGCCTCTGGTCTGAGACTAAAACCATGGTCAGCGATGTGGGAGGAGTCCAGTGACATAACCACTACACCATCTGCTGGTCCCATTTCTTTACATGTAGTCTCTGGGACAGGTTGAGCAGCAAGGCTGTAAAGGTCACATGAGGTTTAAAGAAACCTCATTCTTGATAAGTGACGATTTATATCTAACTTAATCAAGACTTTAAATGACAACTTCTAAAAACTTTATTCTCCTAAAATATACTTAGGGTGACCAGCAGGCAGCATGGAGATTAAAGTGCTGGATCCTGGTTGGCTGATGATGCAGTTCGATGCAGCTCGAGTCCTGGACTCAGCGTCTTGAAGATCACATGCAGGGAGTTCTAAGTGTCCCCAATCAGGGATTACAACCACCAAAAACCGTCTGCCCAGACTTCACACTCCTGCACCCAAGATCTAGCCAAGAGCCAGGACAATCCAATCAGCAGCCATCTATATTTGAGTTCTGAGCGGCCCCATTCAAGGATTATGACCACTGAAGACCCTCTGCCCAGACTTCACTCTTCTGCCCCCAAGATCTCGCCAGGAGCAGAAAAAGCCAATGAGCAGCCATCTATATTTGAGTTCTGAATGGCCCCATTCCCATTCAGGGATTACAACCATTGAAGACCCTCTGCCCAGACCTCACCCAAGATCTAGCCAAAAGCCAGAGAATACAAGGGAACTCATGGAAATGTCAGATAAAGAATTTAAAATATTCATAGTGACAAAGCTAACAGAGATGCAAGAGAAAAGACACAACAAACTTCAGAAGATGCAAGATAAAAAAGACACTGCGTTCCAGGAGGTGAGGAAGTTCTTGAACCATCTGAAAGAGGAGCTATACATCATAAAAAAAGAATCAAACAGAATTGTTAGACACGAAGGCCGCAATACAGGAAATCAAAACTTCCCTTGAAAATATCAAAAGCAGATTAGGTCATGCAGAAGAGCAAATCTCAGATGTAGAAGATGTAACCTCTGATGTAGAAAAATTCACTAAAAAGACTGAGAAAATAACCCAAAAATATATGAGTAATACCAAATACTATTAAATGCCCACACATCCAGATCAGTCAATTCAATTTTTAACCTCATTGGCCTTCTTACAGTTTAAATAGTTGAATAAGTGTTCAGAATACTTTGGTCTTGATAAAATTGATAAATTAATAGTCTATCTACATTATCTAATCTAGTGGCTAGTCTGCCTCTATAAAAGCTCACCCCAGATAGCTAAATGCCTCTGGATAACATATCAAATATGTGACCCCACCTACTAATCTTTTCAATGACTGTTTCAGGACCCAAAACAGTAAGTATGGTCTCTTCAAACACAACTCGTTTGTTGTTAAGGGTGCAATAAAACAAGCACTCTCCTACATCATTAGTGGAATTTAAATTATTGCATTTCTAGAAAGCTCTATGGCAATGCGTCATAATTCCATTTTTACGTCATTTGAAAAAAATAGAGAATATTAATAAGAGCAAAGCCCAGTTATTCATTTCACTTTTTTTTTTTTCTTAAAGAGAGATTTTTGCCATAGGGCACATGCCTCACCAGAGAGACAGAAAGTGAGAAATCACCCCACCCCACCCCCCCGGGGTGGCA